CCTGATCAACAAAAAAAAAAAAAAAAAAAAAAAAAAAAAAAGGAGGCACTTATGATAAACGGCTGCCCCAGCAGTACAAGTCTTAGGAAGAGCGAAAAACAACATCAGCACCCCAGGAACACACAAGGGCTCCCTGATCACAGAAGTAAATTAGAAAATGGAGACTAAAGCAGGTTGAGTGTAATCTATGCAACTTGCAAACCATTTCTAAACAGAGCTTCAGACATCGCAGACACTCAGCAGAGGACTCCATTCTTATACTGGTTTCCCCCCCTACAGTTGGTGCTCACACCACGGGACCAAAACGAGGTTCAGACACCAATCTGGGATACAAAATCTCCGAGTCAGAGCAATGCAAGCCTATTAAACAGATACAGCATTGAAAACACTAAGGAACAACTCCCCACAGATTAAAAATGACCTTGACTCTAAAAAATAATAAATTTTAGTTTTAGATGGTATAATTATACAAAACCTTTAATCTTATGGGGAGAAGTTTTGTCCAAACAAAGGTGGTTTCAAAATATCAAAGTACCTACAAGTAGTTTTTGTTTGTGGTTTTAATGTGGCGAGGCTCCCGTGAAATGGAACGCTCAAATGCTCGCATAAAAAAAAAAAAAACTTAAGATTTATACATATGTTCTATGTTGCAAGATACCAGAGAAGCTTAATACAGCACCTATACGAAATACTGTGGACTAAAGAGGTTTGGGTGGAGGGGAGGGGCAAATCATGTAAATATTTGCTCAATATCGGAGAGAAAGCTACTTTCGATCAAAGATATACATTTTTTAAAGGGTTCAAATATAACTAATCGGAACCATTTATGATATTTTACTCCCCACAGAGGGCTGAATCTAAGCAGCCAGTCAACTCAGGTGAACTTAATTTTTGTAACCATGTACAGAATACTCACAAGACAAGAACAAAGTCATATGATCAGCTTAGACCAACAAAGCAGAGGGGTGTTGCGATGAAAGGCGGGGGGGTGAGGAGTGTCTGGAATGTCGAGTCTGGTCCAGAACGCTTCAGTGGAAAGTAAGTAATTCAGTTGTAGTGAACCAGATGACCTCAAATCTACCAGATGGACAGAGACTGTTATTTTCATTGATCTGAATAAGTCTGGGCCATCTGATGACTTTCTTTCTTGAATTAATCAAGCAGAAAAGACAATTCTTTATAATCATTACTGTCTTACAAATGTTTTGATAATCAAATTGTGTTAGTTCACTCAATGCTTATAGGTTGAAAAGAACTACTCATCTTTATTTTACATAAACAGTAAGTAATGATTTTTATTCCTCATTCCAAGAAGAAATCACCTGAATAAGCATTCCTTGATTTTCTGTCTGAAATGAGTCAAGTCGTAAGTATGTGAAAGGTTGGTTTTCGGTCAACTAAAATGTTTACCGAGAAAAATGTCATGTTTAAACTTTTTCAGAAGATTACCAAGAGTTGACTCCACGAAGTCTGCTGTTGCTGCAATAATCTTTTCTGTATGTGAAAACAAATTTCATTCTCTGACCTCGACTGTTGATAAACACCTTACGTCAAAACCACTCCTCTTTCTGGTCCTTCCACGAAACAGAAAGCTCTAAATTGAACAGGAAGTCGACCCAAATAAAATGTGGCAACTTCCCAGTTCATGTTAGATTGAGAGTGCAGCCGGTTCTGAAAGTTTCAGAGCAATGAAGAGTCCAAGAGAGCAATGAAGAATCCAGAGGTTTTTGGGATTATAATTCTGTTTTGAGCTAACTACGCACGACTCTCTGAAGGTTTGGTAGTTCTCGACGGAGACGCTGAAACGAGTCAGAAAGGAACTACTCCGACGCTGATTCATCATCAACAGGTAGATGGTTCTATTTTGACCAAGTGTACCGTGAGAAGCTGAGATCGGACGGAGCGTGCAATTTCTGGTTAAACAGATTAAATTTCCCTCACATATTTCCTCTGTAAGATAAATCTCAATTTACTCTTAAACTCACCTCTCTCTCATAAATCAGTGCAGATATTTTTAGAAATATCTGAAGCAAAGTCCTCAAATCACCGTCGAGTGATTTGAAGTTCATTATTTGTGAAACTGTCTGTTATTATTTTCATATTTTGCCAAATTAATGTAAATGTTTGATGTTAAACTTTGATTCTGAAAATAAATGATTCCATTCATTTGATGGGTCAAAGATAAATAACGTCTCTCGTTACATTTTGTGTTAAATTCAATGCACGGCATTTACAGTCAGAAAAATGAAGAACTCGTGAAAAGTATGCATAAATATATATCCATATATTTGTCATACAACAAGTGACACGTATCTCACGTGACTCACTACACAGTGAATAAAGTCCTAACAATGTAGAAGTGTTTGACTTGTTTTCACAAACGGTGATAATTTCCATGAACCATGAGAGATTCAGCTCGTTATGACCAGTAATGAAGTTATAGCCTGTAATAATCTCTATAAATCAGTAAACTGTTGCATTAACTTCTAAACAGTTTGAAAGTCATCTTCTGCGTTAGTATGATGCATTAAAACTGCAAAGTGATTATATGAATAATTTAAAATGCCTTTACAAAAAAAATACTTACTAAACTGAGGGAAATTTGGTTAAGATAAAGTATAGTGCCCAAACTGCCTACAGCCAGTGAATACAAAAAGGATAAAGATGATTTGCGTGTCCGTCAATATAAAATAAAGCTAAGCCTCAAGTCTTTGCCCTGGCAGCTTTAATGACAATCTTTTTCTACCCCGTCATGCATGGTCACACAAAACTCATGTGACTCAGTGTTTGAGGGGAGAAAAATGAAAACTGGTCAAACTAAGCCGTTCAGATTGCATAGCAATAAAATTTATACATTTCTTGCCATCACTGCATGTTTTAAAATAATCTTTGTTACTTAATATGACAGATGTCTGCATGAAGTATAACAAAGGGATGCTCAGTCAAACTGTGTTGTAAAATACACAATTAAAGCATTAGAGGGGAAGTGAACTGGACCACAAGTATGATTCAATTGAGACAAAATGGCTTTTGTTTATAGACACTTGTCCTCATTTTACTCACAGTTCACCAAAAGAATTCAAGACGGTCATAGAATCCAATATAGTTTGACTAGTCATTTGTATGGCACCATTTCTGTAGAACCAAACATTGAATAAAAATCAAGTTCAGAATCAGCATAAGCTTTATTATCATTGTACCAAAATGCAGCGAGATCATGTTCGTACACTCGTCCAAAAGATTAGAGTGCACGTTGCTGCTGCTCTTAAGAGTGCAGCCCCTTATTCTTTTTGGATAGAAAAAAGGAAAAGGCCATGAGGACAGGATAGTGGTATTACAAAAAGAGATCTTCACATCCTTTCCTTATAAGACATGATTTAAGACATGACCAATAAAATAAAAAAATATACCACACCAGCAAGCAATTTTATAGACTCATTACATATGTGCATCTGACGACAAGACTGAGATTTGTCTATGAAGCACTTCCAGATAGTCCATAGTCCTGTTAAGAGGTTTGTGTCAGCCGGTACAGCTCTGATAAGCATTCACAGAAGTTCTCGGGGTTGGGGGGGTTGAGATGGAGCTTTTCCTTAGTTTACACATGCATCTCTTGTAAATTAGTCCGAGGCTCAGTAGGATTTACCAGTCTAAATAAAGGTTTAAAGAAATATCCCTGGAGAAATTTGACGTCTGACTGCTTCGAGGTCAAATGGGGGAGTCAGATTCAGATAAGCCACAATTGTTGATTTTTTTTCCAGGCAAATTTATTACTCAGCCTTGAGTTCTGCTGGTACTTTCGATCCAAAATGGCCAGATTTGTGGGCATTCCACTGGTCTGTGCTTATAAGCTCCCTCTAAGGTCGTCCCCAACATGCTGGTGAATCCCAGAAGCCGCAGGTGACCTGCGATTCACAAAAATGGCTTCAGTCTTACGGTTTAGCTTGTAAACCAGCTGATTTTGAGTGCTCGAAGCATGAACCAAACCGTCACACAGGCTCAGCAGTTTTGCCACGTTCGAAACTGTTGCCACAGTCTTCAATAGCCAATAACATGGGTATCCGCCTGTGCCAAAAAGTAGAAACCCTGCTATCACGATTCCAATTCTATAAACATCAGCTTCTAAACTCCCCATGGATCCATGATGTATCCTGTGGTCTATGTTACACTGGGGCATGAGGGCTCCCCAGGACCACGTCACTTTGTTAAAAAAAAAAATGTATTGATTGCGTTAAATGTCCAGCTGACCAGATCTACGACAGTAGTTTTACGTTTCGGAAGATGTTAAATAGGAGCTCCAATACTGAGCAAAAAAAGCAGGAGGGGAACAAGAGGGGAAAGAAATGTGTCCACCTTGCACGAGAGCAAGTGAGGAAGGAAGTTCAATCCTTAAAGGGTTTTTAACTACAGTAATTTCATCCATTTTGCAAAGGATTAATTTTGGGTTGAACTAAAAAGTAGTAGATGGTTAAAAGAAACTCAAATGGATTGATCAAAAAATTTGTTGCACCAACTAATCTTTATTCCTGCACCAACGGCCAAGTTTAACCTGTTCAAACCAAAAACTTACATAAAAACAGAAAAAATGAGCATTGAAACTTCAGTATTCTGGAAATCTTCAAACACTTAAACCTTTATCTTGAAATTAAGTTAGTTTCTTCAAAAGTTAAGACAAGTATTTGGCCTTAAATGTTACACTTTACATTTAAGAAAATGTTAGAATTCCTTAGCCTAACTTGAACGTCTTTACAAATGATGCAATATGCTCAAAATTACAAGTTGAATACAGTTTATTCCATTAGCATGGACCCATTTTCATTTCAAGTAGGCATGCAGTCATTGGTTCCTGTGCATTTTAAACACATTTTCCTTCAACTACTTGAAGTTCAACTATTCACCTACCTAACCTTTGCCGTTTTGTTCTCGAAAGATTTTCCCCTCTTCAATGGAAACTGGGGATTTAATTGATGATGGAAAATACTTTGTAAAGGAATGCTTACCTGGCTCTGAGCAGTTCTTTGGCTCCGTCTCATTTTCTAATACTGAGGCCATTAGCCTTCTCCCCCAGTGTTCAAGGTCTGGATGCCCCTCCACAATCATCCCATGTCCTGAAACGAGAATATAAAAAACAGCTCTGGTTAGCAATTAAAATGCAGCACGAGGCATATTAGAGGGCTTATACTCTTGCAGAAGTACTTTCCCCCTCTCAAAATAAAACCCTGAAAAATCAATTTAGCAATCAAACCATGTACTGTTGAGCAAGGCATATTTCCCGAGCTAGCATCCATAATAAAGCTCATTAAGCCAACAATAGTTAAGCTTTTTTTTAATCTTAAAAATTCTCAGTTATCTAGATGCAACATCTCCAAACTTTAAATGTTGGTTTAAAAAGTAGTTACCATAAATTCATATTTTACAGCAATTCAGGTTAAGATGGCATCAATACACTAGGCCCCAGTTGGACAAGTTGTTCACCTACCAGAATAAAAACTTTAAACCGAGGTCAAAGAGCCATGTTCTACAAAAGTTAGAATTGATTTATATATAAAAAAAATGAAATAAAACATTTTACATTATTAGTGTTTAGCATACATCTTGGATCCTTAAATACAGTTTATTTTTATACTTTATAGTTTTGCCATTTTGGGAGTAACTAGAACCGAGTACACAATTTCGTTCCACCTCATGTACCATGTGTGATGCGAATGACAAAGCTACTTTAAATTTAAATGTTTCTGCGTGCTGAACAGACATTCTTTAGCCTATGCACCAGAAAATGGCTCCAAACTAATGCAAAAGTGTCAGTTTAGCCAATTTATGTTATTCGAGAAAGCAGTTCTATAAGCCTGAACAGTTGTTTGATCAGCCATCGGACTAGAGGAGTTTGACTCATTTTTACCTCACGAGCAGTGACTGACAAATCTCAAATCTATAAAAATTAACAGACCTTCTCTTAAATGTATTCATTTTGATTATACAAAATGAGGGGGGGGGGGGGGGGGCGCAAGATTGTGCAAGATTCTGATGTTTGAGTTACGCAGGGAAAAAAAAACGGAATGTGATCAAACCATTAAAGATTTGAGCCTAATCCAATTTAATTATAAGAGCCAGCTTGTTCCTTCACACCAGAGCTTGTGCTTTTATTTTTCTGCCTTCACAATTTCATCACATCCCGTTACAGTTCGTTTTTTTTAACAAAGGTTATTTTTAAAGTAAACTTCTCTAAAAACAAACCATTAAAGTAGGCCACCGTGTTGAAGCAGTAATGCAGACTGACAAAGCGCTGCATCTGTGCGACATCTGGACAGCATCAGAAAGGCAAGGAGACGAACTGTAAACCACTTATCACAGTGTATCAGTCCAACTGCTCCAAAATAAAGCTGCGTTGTTTTGAGCCCACTCAATGCATGGGTCAACCTCAGAGTTCCTCTGGTAATGGGTCACCTCTTTGATTCAATTCAGTTTTAGCGCCAATTCACAACACAAGTCATCTCAGGGCACTGAACAGAAACATTCATATGAAAAATAATTTAACACTATCCGAGGAGCAGACTGCTTTAAATTTAACTCCATCACAGAACTTTCATCTTGAGCAAGCATGGAGGAGACAGTGGAAGGGAAAAACTCAGTCATGAGAAAGAAACCTTTAGCAGAACCAGGCTCAGGACAAGCGACCATCTACTTTGACCGGTTGAGTTTGAGGGGAACAGATACACAATGGCAGGTCAAGAATCACATGTTAAGATGGAAAGAAAAATGAAAACTATTCAGTTTTAACAATTAATTTAAAGAAATTAGATCAATTTGTCCTCCAGTAGTCTAAGCTTAAGGCAGCATAACAAGCAAACCCCAACTATAGGATTTATCAAAAAGGAAAAATCTTAAGCCCAGTCTTAAATTGGACAAGTGTCAGCGTCACAGACAGAAACTGGAAGTTGGTTCCACAAGAGGAGCCTGAAAACTGAAAGATATTCCTCCCATTCCATTTTTGGAAACTCTAGGAACCACGAGTAAGCCTGAAGTCGGAGAGCGAAGTGCTCCGTTAGGAAAATATGGAACAATAAGATCTTGAATATAAGATGGAGCTAGGTTGTTGGTCTTTAAGGTTAGAAGCAGGATTTTGAATTCAATTCTTGACTGGGAGTCAATGGAGAGAAGCTGAAACTGGATATGATGCGAAACTTTGTTGCAACAGCTCCAGGTTTTTTACAGTTTCCTTCCAAGCAGCCCTAATGTTGCATAAACATCTCATTTAGAAAGGCTCAGACCAATGTGTTAAAGAAAATCTCCCATCTAGGTTATACTTGCACAGACCATTCTGCATCTCAAATTAATCGAATGAGAATTCATGTCAACTCATTTCCTTGAATTTATCAGACGCTTTAAGAAACCATGTGACTTAAAAATGTAAAGGCTTTAATCTTTGTTTCAGAATGCCACATCACTAAGTGCATCACATGAAGCTGCTTTTATGCAAAGACTCCTTTATGTTTCACCCCAGGTCTTTCAGTTTGACCAATTAGATGCATGTTCATTGTTCATGTCATGTGTCGGAGATTCCATTTTCCCCAATTTTAAAGCCATATATGCAACATCAAGGTAGGAAAATTCCTAATTTTTGGCAAGCCTGGTCAGCTGTAATGTTCAGTTTGGAGCATTCATATTGCTACAGTGCGACAGCAAACAAATGCAGAATTAATGCACGTTTGATTAACTTGCAATTTCAGCAAAACTTGAAGCAAGTCTCGAAAGGAATCTAAATTATTTTTTTTTATTTATTTTTTTTAAGTAACTTATGGGAGCTCGACAGGCAAGTGATACTTTGATGAACAGAACTCCCAAGAAAGATGCTGACAAGAAAAAACAGTGAAATTCTCAGCTTTTTAAGCACACTAAACTTATGACTAAAGGATTAAAGGAGCATCAAGGGAAAGGGCATTTGAAGTTACAGTCAATGGCTTTGGTTTTGCGTTTTCCCCCCTCAAAATCAGCCCTACAGCAGAGTTCAAGCTTCAATTTTTATGCCTTACACAGTTTAAAGCCAGGTTAGGGCTCAGTTTTCCTCAATATATTTTACAGTAATAAATCATTTGTCAGCCTGAACATCAGCAACCGCTGGATAAATGGATTAGACAAGGCAAAGTCAGCTGCTTCGCCAATTAAACCAAAACCCTCCAACCTGCTTTCAACCAGCTCAGTTTTACTCCTGCCGCCTCTGATCTCTCCCTTAACTAATCACTGCTCAAATAAAATCAAATGTTCATCCGGGGATCACTGAGACCAGTTTATGAGCGGAGAACATGTGGGCCGCTTGTGCCAAAGAAACCAATTCAGATTAGATAAACAAGCAACTTTGGAAAATTATCAGTTTTAATCTGATTTGTCCTGGTGGTTACATGTGCAACCACAAGTATAAAAGTTTTGTTTTTAAAACCAGCAAGTGCACGCATGAGCATTTCAGCATGTATCAGTGATATGACTCCGTTAGCATTTAAAACCAGTGGAATGAAAAATAATCCAGCATTAAGGATCAATTTTGTGTAGTTTGTCACACTGATCAACCAAACCTCTAAATACAGTGTTGAGCAGAGACCATTTTATCTGCATTTTATCCATTTTTGACCTGGAACTTGGCACTGCTGACTTTAGGCTCGGGGCTGCCTTGAAAACGAGATATTGCGCTCTCATTGGGACTCACCTGGTTAAGAGTAAATAAAATACTGATGATGCGGTGGCTGCTGAATACATCAGCCTGATTAGTACATTTAGCTAGTTGAAAGTTTAAAATGTATGGGCAGATACAATCAGCACCGTTTTGTAAACCTCAAAAAAAAAAAAAAAAAAAAACAGGCCTCATTTCTCATCATAGCCCTTTACCACTTATACCAAACTACATGAATGATGTCACAGCTAAGATTACAGATAGGAAAGTATCAAAAGAACACATCAAAACCACACGCATGTTGCCAGTCTGATGAAGAGACCACAAGGGACTAGTAAGATGCAGCATCCCAAAAGTCTCCCACCCACCACAATTTTTTCTCCACTTTTAAAGGATTAAGAACATTCACTCCTGCACTGATTTATTAAAAACAGAAATTCCAGGCCTAAAAATAAATAAATAAATCAAACGCTTGTTTGCTATGCAGCATTCAGATGCAGCGTGACATTTTGACCTCACCAGGACCTAAACTTGCCCCAAACAATTTATTCAGTCACAATGACATTTCATGGTTTTAAGCCATTTTTGGCATATCAGCTGCTGAAGCTGTCAATGTATGGGTCAGAAAACTCAGCACAATATGAAAATGTGTCATTTTGTGCCATTGTTCAGCAAATGCATTGTGTAAAATAGGAACTTCCAACTGCTTTGCAAGAAGCATTTAAGAATCACTAAAGCTACTTTTGAACAGAGTAAGACGCACTTATAGCAGAATTTCAGTTAATTTAACCTTTTTGAAAGGGGAGAGAATAGCCAAGGACAACCAAATCAGTCTCATGACAACAAAGCTCACCTATTTTGATCAAAATCTCCAGGTCATCCCTAAAGGCGATTAACCTGCAGCGTCCGTCAGAACTAAAACCTGTTCCTTAGCATCTATTCTGGTCCTCATGTGCAGTGTCATCTCACATGCATAAAGTCAGTGGGGTCAGTACAAGTGACAGCATGTTAAGCACGTCTTGGAGATACAACCCACAGGCAGTACATCACATCCCATCCATCTGGACCGATCAGCACATCATCGTCCACCATTATCAATCAAAAAGACTGCGAGCACCGAGGAACAGGTTTTAGAGAGACATGACAAATGTTTGCTCTTACAGCTGAAAGATGAGGCAGCCTCGGAGCTTCAATTAAGTTTGACCCTGCTCAGCTTTAGGAGTTTGGTTCAGAGGAAATTACCAATCGCAAGCATGTCACCTTGAAATGTGATGGGCTGAAAACAAAAGTTCACAACCAGTCCCTGTCAATGAAATGCAGCAAGCATTTTGTGATAAAGGACATCTGATACAGGGTCAACCGTCTTATGGCCCTTGCCATTAATCTTTAATACGCTTTTAATTCTCATTTTTCTAGTGAAATTAACATAAATCCCAGTAATTCACTAAAGAGCTGAAGTCAGGTAATTATCAAAGGTAAAAGTGGGTTGATAATGTTTTGTCTATACGCTAATGTCCTCAAAAGCTTGGACAGATTTAATTGCACTGGGTGTGCATCCAAAACTGAACATTTGGGGTCAACCCAATTCAAGATGGCCGTCACAGCCCAACATTGGATGAAAGTGATTTTTAGATATGGAGCTCAATTTTGGGAAAGTTAAAAAAAAAAAAAAAAAAAAAAGTCATCCTCAATGTACACAGCGCAACATCTTTGCTCAATACTTTGGCATTAACTGTAGTAAACCCAAGAACTTTGATGTTGTGAACCACTTTGGCTGTGGTTGCCTCGGAAAGTCCATGGGGGAAAGGGTGGGCTCCAGAAACCATGTTATCACCAGCAAACTGGTTGCTCTGGTGGAAACAGTTTGTATGACTTCTCAGATTGATGAAGCCCTTCACAGATGGAGAGCGAAACGTTTAAAAAAAAAAAAAAGCTGTCCAGATGATCTGACTGAACCTTGTTGGATGTTAGCAAACCTGTTAGCAAAATATCAAGCCAGAACAGGTTTTAATTAAATGCTCACATCATTTAATGTCAACCCAACTTAAGTTCGCCACAGCTAACTGCCCCCAGGAAGTGACTACAACTTATTCTACACTACAGATATTGGAGTTTGTGGTAGTAGCTGAGAGTCTTCCTCCACTCATACTCCGAGCATCAATGTCGGAGGAGCAGCGGGCGACATGCATTCCTTACAGGTCTGCTAGGCCTTTAAGTTGTGATGAATTTACAGTCACCTTCAGCTCTAAACAATTTTTTTTTTTTTTTTAAATTAAAATCACACAGTCTGGCTTCACGTCTGAACAGTGATGCGCAGGAGTCAGTTTTTTTTTTTTTTTTTTTTGGGGGGGGGGCTCCGGTCTTAGTTAGCCTTTGATCCCTGTGGTGTGTCGGATATCACTCCTCACCAGCGAAATGTCAAGGTTGGCCATTCAGATTACATAACCGCGCGTGGGGGGGAGGAGGGGGGGTGTCTGTGTGGGATGCTCTCTGCGTTGTCTGCACGAGCACGCCGCTAGAGTTCCTTACGTGAGAGAAAGAGAGAAAATACTAGTGTGTGAGAGACAATACTGATTATGTCCTACACGGCACCTCATAGAAAAGGACATGTAGTTTTGTGTGCGTTGCACGAGCACATGATCAAACTGCTGAAATCGTGCGGCTCTGACTCCAGTCACCCCCCCACCCCCATCGTCGGCAGTTTCTGCGGGGGAAAAAAAATAAAAAAATTAATGAATTAAAAATTAAAACGCACGCATTGGAATCCCTCGGTCGCCATGCGGAAGCCGGGAGCGTGATCGTGCTTTTTTGGAGATTCAGTGATGATGCGTGTGCGCGCGCGCGAGAGCGAGTCTGGAGCCCCCCCTTCCCAGGGCCAGACGCTATAATGCCAGCATAAAAAAAAAAAAAAAAACGTGACCGTGAAGTGCGTCGGTTCTAACGACGCGCGTGGCGCAGAAAACCGCGCAAACAGCTCAGCGCTCTCATTGATCTGGCTCCATGAACTTGGCTCCCATTTTCAAATTAAAATAAAAACGTGACGCGCACACTGCGGCACAGTTACAGAGTGTACTTTCAGAGATCCCCCCCCTCCCCAAGAGGCTGTGACCTGACAACATGCGTTGCTGACTCTGTCCAGTGTGCGCAAAAAGAAAAAGGGGGGGGTCAGAAACCTGGAGAGAATGACAAATCACTTACAGGCTGGACCGGGGGGGCTGATGGTGTTCGCCCTTGACATTAAAGCTTTATGATCAAAGCCAGAGTTTGAGTGCATGACCACACTGCAGATGAGTTTCCTCTGACCTTAGCGTCCATCCCTCACACGCACACTCACCTGTCTTAGTTAGGAGCGCCGACATGCTCCACGCCACGAAGAGGACACTGCAGATGAAGCACACTTGCACGAACATCATCTCCCTCCTCTTGCGAACTTTAAAGATCTTGGCGATGATGGTCTTTTTGGACGGGCTCACGGTGTCCTGGGCGTCCCGCTCCATCCTTCTCAGCTTTAAACGGCTCAGCTGGCGGCCACTTTTTGGGGGTTTCTGGCGTGCGCGTCCTTGAGAAGCCTCCCCTCCCCTGAATGAAACAGCCGCCCGGCTCGCCTCTTCACTCGGAGCGCAGCCGGGATGTGGTCCTCATCTCAAGCCGTCCTGTGCGCAAACAGAGAGTGGTGGAGCGGACAGCTGTCTCCGGCTCAGCTGCTGGGACTGTTGGTGGACAGGGACAATGACAGCGCGGTCAAACGCGTGTCCGAGTTCCGTGTTGCTCCTATGTTCGAATCCTCACCAGGAGGCTGAGTTCCGAACAGGATCTTATTGCAGAACACATCCTGTCCCGTGCGCAAATTAAAGCTTCCGTCCGCGGAAGAGTTTCTGCTTAGCATAAGATGCGCCGCAGAGTCCAGTCCTGGGAAAGAAGGGGCTCAGCTGCGCCACATCGCCGCAAATCCGACGCACCTGCGCCCGTTAAGTGAGCCCAATCTGCGCTCATCAGGGGTTGATTGTTCAAACCCGGTAGTTGTCGTGCCGCGCGCGCCTCTCTCCCTCTCTCCGGCGCCTCCGCCTCCGCAGGAATCCCTGCTCAGTGCAGAGCATCCATCAGCTGCGTCCTTCCTCGCCTTTAACTTTCCCAACAAGTCTTTGAGGAGAGAAATAAATAAATTAATTAAATGATAAATATCACCCCTCCTTTGTTCGCGCCTCATCCATTACCCTGCACCTTCTTAATTAGATATGCTGGACTTCCATGCAACAAGACGACCCCACAACACCCTCCACCCCACACACACACACGTGCATTTCCCCTTTAACTACAAGTCCAACAGAAATCACCCGTATCCTGTTGCGTTATGAAACCAAATCCCATCTCTTTCTGGGTCCTGAGCACATCCCCTTTAATAAGTGGCTATGGACGCCTGCTTTCCTCATTTTGATGCAGAATAATTGAGGTTGGCGTAGTCTTTTCTCTAAAACACTGAAAAACATAGCATTTTATGACATTATATAATGTTGCTCTTTATTCAACTGTTTCACGTGAACTGAGATTATAGACCTGAACACACAGAAAATTAAGACGATTGGGACCCACACATGGAATCAGATCAAACTTTATTTATACAGCACTTTTCATAACACACATTAATAAAAAGTGCTTTATAATGGGAAAAACATACAAAATGTTTGTTTTTAATCTTGTTAAAAATGTGATTCTTGGAAGCTAAAGTAAAAGCAAAAGTCTATCTATCAGAGAGAGTCAGAGTCAAAGAGTTTTTTTAATTTGTCATGTGGTGCAAATTAAATTTTGTACACAGGGTCCCAGTTACATCCAATAATAAAATGTAAAAGAAAAGCAATAATAAGATCTAAGATATGAACTCAGAAAAACATTAACTAAAAATCCTCTAAGCACAAATAGCATCAAAACAATATGCCCAACATCAGCACGATGAGTCTGTGTGAGCAGATGAGCACGAATGAGCACGAATGAACACAGCAACATGAAACAGATCAGCAGCAACATGAAACAGATCAGCAGCAACATGATGTGTGTGTTTTTTTTCACAGTGATTATCCTGGTTAGATATTCACGAGTCTAACAGCCTCATAGAAGCTGCTCCTCAGCCTAGTGGTTCAATGCTTAATGCTCCTCAACCTCCTTCCTGAGGGGAGTGGGGCAAAAAGTGTGTGTGCTGGGTGAGTGGGGTCCTTCATGATGCAGGTGGCCCTCTTCCTGCATCTGGAGGTGTATGTTTGGTGATGAGGCTGACTCCAACAGTCTTCTATGCAGCCTTCACTACTCTCACCTATTTATCTATCGATCTATCTATCTATCTATCTAGCTAGCTAGCTCGAAGTTGCCACAAACAAAGTGAAACAGGAAGTGACATCAAAGGGGAACTCTTTTAAAAGGAGAACTTTGTTTATTGGGAAGGGAACTCTGAGATTGTCATCATTCTATCATCAATTTGCACTCTGGCTCGTCTTCGTTTCTCTGATCGTGACTCAAAATAAAGGGAAGAAACATCAGATTATTCTCCACTGTCTGTGTTGTTAGCCATAGCAACGCTCTGTTTACATGCAGGTGTTCCTCTTTGTCATCACTTCCTGTTACAGCACATGCGAATAACTGTTTGTCTCAGCAGCGTGATTTTGTTTTTCCGCAAAATGTTAATAATGTTATCTTTTCAAAAATGTATTCATATCCATGACAAAGATTTGTGTCACAGACACTTTAAGTTCAGTATAGGCTCCAAAACAGATATTAAGGCATTAGTGAAAATTATTTTGTGTATATTGAGTATTATGTGATGGCATTCTGATTCAGTTTTATAACCAGTTTGTAAGGTAAAAAAATAAAATAAAATCACTTCGGGTCAAAAGAGCCATAGGGCGCAACTTTGCTGTAATCGCCTGAAATTGTTGTTTATTTTGGTATTCAGTTATTAAAAATGTTTAGTTTCTGTGATCCAAAATGTGTTATGTGATGTATTTTTGATAGTTAAAAAATATATATATATATATATATATATATATATATATATATATATATATACATATATATGTTGCAAGATATTTTACATTTAATAAGCATGATTGAAACTCAGTGCTTCAAACTCATAAATGTGTTTAAGTTTTCTTCATTGTTGCTCCAACTAAGCTCTGCTGTTCTGCTCAAATGCAAATAAATTTACAGTAGAACTTTTAATCGTTTAATTAGGAGCTGATGCTCCTGAGGTGCCGCATTAAAAAAAAAAAAAAAAGAAACAATTGAAACAAAAATAACATTTCAGAAACCCTTACAAAAGACAGCAGTAGTTCCTAAAACACAACAAAACAAGAAACACGTAAAAAATACAATGACTCAAACTGCACCTGCAGAATATTTTAAATTGAGAAAACACAACTGCATGTAACAAAACTCAAATTTTATTAAAAGTGCACTTGTTTTTCTTTTCATACGCCTTCAAGATGTACAGTTTTGCCACTCTCAGCAAGAACACAAATATGCTTATTTGTGTTTTTGCAGAGAGTTTGCTGAGAGGATCTTCTAACTGTTTTTTTGAAACGGGGGAAACAGCCTGGATATTTCAAAGGCAACCAAACTAAATAAACTTTAGCCACAAGCACCTTTTAGGTTCACTAATTAACATGTTTCCTAATTAAATGTAATTATTGGGGGCGGAAGAGTTTTTCCCTTTAAAAGAGGGGTTGTCTTCATACTAAGCTACCCTGCTGGCTTCACATACATGTACAGACATAATGGATAAAAAAAAAAGTGCATAAATGTCAAGCTAATATTTTAGCAACACGTGTTCGAGGACTTGTGAGGCTACGCGTCACAAGCTTCACCCGTTGCTTTCAGGTCTGCTGCAGGTCACCTTAGCTGCCAAAAAAGCCCACAGGAAAGCTTGTGTGCCCTCATGTCCATCTGCAGGTTAAAACAGCGTGCCAACTTTTCATCATCAGCACTGGTATTTAATGTAAGGGTCAAAACCAGCCCAATCTCCTGCAGACCAAGGTTACATAAGATCAAGACTGTCCATATCTGTGCAGTACGAGGCAGCTCTCCAATATAATTAATCGTTGCCTCCAAGAAGCATCCAAGAGGCTGTGTGAGGGGTGAACATGGAAAGCCCTGCAGGACATTAGTAGAAGCTTTATGATTCTGCCGCCAGGTCTTGTCCTTACACCGCAGATTGGTTCGTCTGCATCCACACATATACGTACATCAACATGTGTGACTTTTGCCCGTGCCAAAGGATTAGTCCCATCCCGGCCCTGGTCCACAATCTGGGAGCATTGCCAGGGCCTGCTTACAGAGATTTAGCCACTGCTGTACACTCCCTGCCTCAATTAAACTTACACATCCTTCTATTTCCTTCAGCAGATCTGCAGGAGAGATAAGAAGGCGTGCTTTAATGTGTAGCGATGTCAAAAACAGAGCAGCTGGAGCGATGCTAATGCGTTGTTTGATATAAATGTCAAACGTGTGTCACATTTTCAAAGTGAAAATGACTAATGACTTGGTTTGAAATGTTTAACAATGATAGTTGCACAACAATTGCCATTTGACTCAGCACTGCTCACTTCAGCTTCCAACAACTTTATAGCTGGAATGATTCATCTTGTTTGTTTTCGCTGCTTTAATGCACTGATTCAGTTCAAGTTGTTACAGCAGTGAAGCCATGCCACATACTGTTTTTCTTTAAGTTGTGGAGCCATTTTGCCTATATTAAGACATATATATGTCTGATAAGTAAAAGTACCAAAGCAACAAAGGCTTTTTGAGTTTACAATCTACAATTGTTTTATACACTATTTATCTTAATTGCATTTTTATTGTACTTTATTGTTGTCTGTGCTCTATATGTGTCTGCCTGGAACAGGTTTCTCTTGTAAATGAGTCCTCGTGGCTCAATGAGACTTACCTGAATAAATAAAGGTTGAATGAATAGCAGGGCTATTCAACTGGTGGCCCAGGGGCCAAATCAGGCCCACGGATGAACACCATTCGGCCCACACGTGGGTTCATTTTTAAATAAAACTAGATTTTAAACCATAAAACAAACTTGCTTAATGACAGTAACTGCTGAATGTTGTTTGTTTGTTTGGTTGGTTGATTGGTTGGTTGGTTGGTTGTTTTTGGTTTGTTGGTTGGTTGATCATTTGGTGTTTAGTTATTTGGTTGGTTTGTTGGTTTGTTGGTTGGTTTGTTGTTTGGTTGGTTTGGTGTTTGGTTGGTTGGTTTGTTGGTTTGTTGGTTGGTTGTTTGGTTGGTTGGTTGTTTAGTTGATTGGTTGGTTGGTTGGTTGGTTGGTTGGTTTGTTGGTTGGTTTGTTGGTTTTGTTGTTTGGTTGGTTGGTTTGTTGTTTGGTGTTTGGTTATTTGGTTGGTTTGTTGGTTTGTTGGTTG